TTTAAAAGACAAAAATTCAGCCTAAGAGCACAAAAAAAGCTGCCTCAGCACTGAGGAAGAGATGTGCCTAGCAATTTGCATCATCACAGCTATTTGCATGTACTTCACCTCCTGTTATTATGGATAACAATGACATCACATGGTTGTGAAAATCATCAGAAACAGCAAAGTTTGGTGGCCTATAATCATTATTTTAAGCTACTGCTACCCTGAAAACCCAATGGCTTCCTGAAGGTTGTTCCAAAGCAGGTACATGCTTTCTGTTTCACAGTTCAGTGTGTTGCTGATGTTTCATGACAATTGTTAGAGGGACCGAAGAACTGTGTTCCTTCAATAGTTTATGGAAAAGCAGCAGACTTAACTTGCACATCTTCACACTCACTCTAGACATGTGTTGTATCAGAAAAGCAAACTAACAGCCATGACCTAGAGGTTTAGGGAGAAAGATCTTACACAAGAACTGCACGTGTGAGCACATCCTTCTAGACTCTGACTCTTGAACAGTTTGTAAAGTATGTATTCTTACATTTATAAAGTGCTACAAAGCCTGTTAACAGAGCTTTTTCTGAAATTCCAAGAGGGCTTTTAAAACCCTTTAAAAAGGGTTATCTTTTAAAGGCGCAGAGCACAGATGCACATGCTTAGACACCTTAGCACCATCCCCAGCTGGAATGGCAGCAGTCACATTTTTAAAGCTTATTATATTGCTAAGTAAGAGAAAGGTTAAATTATTGAAATGAAGCAAACACACAGAGGAGAGGTTATAACAACACAGGAAGTAAAGCTTAAGAGTCAATTTAGCATATCTGAAAACAAACAGTAGGAAAAAAAATCCACATAATTCAGTGGACTTTAAAGAAGAGATTTTTTGGAAAAGGAACTTGGTTTTAAGCATTTAGGTCTGGAAGAAGGCAAGTACACATTAGCCACATGACAAACCCAATCTTCTTTTAGCTGTTAGATGACAAACACTCCCTCTAGTTAGTCCTATGTTGGCCATTGTGCTTCACTCAAAAACCTTCCTTTTTAGTGTTCTTTGATGCTTCTTTTCCAAGTTTGTCAGTAACTACTTCTCCTCTAGGGCAGTATCTAGCCCAGAGCCTGCTTCAGCATCCTTGTCTCCTAATCACCACCTGATTAACCTTGGCATGATGGTTTTGGGTCAGATCGACACCACAGTTTCTTACTTCCACTTTGCAGACATCTCCAGTCTTTTAAGATGATCTTTCAACATGCTTAAATATTTTCTATCCTCCGTCAACACCGAAGTTTTTGTGGCATGCACTACCTTGTGCATTCTCAGGTTTTTTTCCAGAAAGAGGTCAGACATAGTACTGAATTTCGGGAAAATGTTTTCTTTGGCAATCTTGGCAGTTCCTTCACATGACTCACTCTTCAGCTACAAGATTTCTCATTCCATGTTAGTCTTCCATTTGCAAAATTCACAATCAATTTTTCTGCTGCTTCTGTTACTTCACACCTCTCCACACTGACCTTCATTCTATAAGATCCTGTTACCTCTTCTACTTGAGCTATTTCTAACTACAAAATTTTTGTCACTTATTCCTAAATTTGTGTTCGATCCCCAGTATTATCCCAGACTGAGTATTTCTGTTACAGTTAATGAAACATCCTATTTTCATTGTAACTTAGAGAAAGACACAAATTTTTAAAATATTTTCTAGATGCATCACCTTTGTGAGAACCACTTTCCTTATTTTCTTTCTATAGCAAAGAGATGAACTGAATGTCACTTTCATGTCAAGTCCTAGAAAACAGGGTAGTTTGATGTGCTTGAGTAATTTTTAACTTTACTTAATGATGATCATTTAAGTCAACATCAATTAAAAGTACTACCCATAATGGTGATACAACTGCAAGTTATATAACATCTCTTTTTTTTTTTTAAATCAAGGAGTTAAATGAGAATTTGAAATTTCTTAGCAGCCATGAAGGCTGAAGAAAGCAAAGCATAAACTAAAGGCAAAACAGACTTGCTTGTAAGGCCAATCTCATGACTTCAGTGAGTCTGGTTTCTCCACACACTCACTTTTCAAGGTCAGCTCTTGCACGAATCATCTATATTACACAGAATACTATTTTCCAGTCAAAAGACTATACAGAAGATAATTTTCCAACCAAAAGAACTGCAATCAATAAGTCTTAAGGCAGCCCAGTTTTGTCTTCCCAGCCCTTTGCATGTTTTCCCAGGTAGACTGCACCTTGCTCCTTCGACTGAACAGTAGTGTGTATTTTTCAAGGGAGGGTGTTATCTATTCACAAAGCAAAAGCAGCCTGGAAAAAGATAAACAGTGATAACTCCTCAGGGAAAAAAAATAGCTGGCATCAAATGAAATCAGCACCAAGTGGCATCAAATTATTTCCACAGAAAGCACAGCTAAGCTGTGGTACTCACTGCCACAGGATGCCAAAAGCTTACATGACGTCAAAATACAATTAGACACTCATGAAAAAGCAAAAATGCTACAAAAATACCATCTTTGGCTCAGAAAAAAAACACTAAACAGACAAAAAAAAATACTGCTCACAAAGTGTAGATTGATATCTTCCAGAATAACTGTCTGTACTGCATGTATTAAGCAACACACACTTAACTTGCTGCCAGTGGGCATCCAGTGGACAGGGTAGCTGGGTACCTGCCTTTCACCACACCCAGCACAGGCTTTCTTATTAGGCCAAAGGCATAAACCAGATGCTTCTAGAGCAAAAATCAGCTGAAAATGCCAATGGGTTGAGCGTTACCATAAATGACAGTTAAAAGCTTTCAATACTCAGAAAGTTTCTTGCTATTTTTATAAGCAGAAGCTGTTAATTAAGTGTCATCTTTCTCTACATTGTTCTCACATCTCTATAGCAAGATTATTCAAAGGGTTATGAAAGCAAGCTGGCTGAATGCACTCTTGGGATTTATTAGGAGAACAAAATAAGTCTAATGGCAGAAAACCATAGTGTTGGTTAACATACTTGGTTGAAGAACAAAATCACTGTGAAAGAAGATAGCACAGCCAGGTGTTTTTGGTGGGGTTTTTTTTGTTTGTTTGTTTGTTTTTAATGAGAACTAATTGCTTACTTTACCACTAGTAAACTAGATTCATGAGAAAAAAAGCCAAAGATCAATGATCTGAGCATTAATTCGTCTTTCTCAACACCAAAAGGCTAAGTGAAGTTGCTGTCTCCAGGAGGGGGGAAAAAAAAGAAAAAAAAATTCAGAAAAAGGTTTTGATAAGGAAAAAAAACCAGACTTCCTCCTCCAGCCACGTGGCAGCTCACTATCAGAAATACTGCAGGAAGAAGGGAAACAGTAACTGCGAGGACCCATCTGTTCTTACTGTGGACATCATCCACTGGAAGTTTTGTGTTCAAAAAACGGGCAGACATGGCACTTTGGGACATGGTTTAATGGGCATGGTGGTGTTGGGTTGATGGTTGGACTGATGATCTTGGAGATCCTTTCCAACCTTAATGATTCCTAGTTTTTACTTTCATTAAAAAATAATCCACCCACCAAGCCAGGAAACACAAAATTATTACTCTACCCTTAATTGGTTTAGTGGTGGACATGGTAGTGTTAGGTTAATGATTGGACTGGATGATCTTAAGGGTCTTTTCCAACCTAAACGATTCTATAATTCTAAGTCATTGCTGTTTTCTCACTCACAGACTGAATGGCTTGGAAAGCAGGGTAACACCTCTGGCACTGTAAATGTACAATCAATGGTGCCAATCAGGTACCCTTACATTCACACAGGCAGTAAGACTTGCTGACTTGCAGATAATGGAAGAGATCACACAGGAAAACCTTGAATCCCATTCCAGCTTAAATTCATCCACCTTTAAAACAGGGACCTAGAATTTGGTAACAGAGATGATTACTCGGTACTCCACAGACAAAGTGCAGGGATGTATTGTTTGGTCCTGGCTAAGTGGCAGCTGGAGACCACGTGTCTACAGCCAACCACACTTATCCAGACACCGGCTAACACCTGTCACACTGCCTCCCTGTGTCACATTCAACTGGTGAGACCACAGGTAGGAGGCAAAAAGTCCCATTAGTTGACAGAGCATACAACTTTTTGTTTGGGACTATTACCAATTATCCTGCATCTACTTCTGCAGTTTCCATATCCTGAAAACTACTGCCCATTTCGTAAAGTACTAAGTTAGTCTAGCACAACCCACCTTCAGTAAAGCTACGCTGCATTACATCCTGTGTTCCATTTATTTTATGTCTTTGATTACTTTTCTCTTTAGATACTAATTTTTAGACTTGGGTCCCATGGGCTCCTAAATCATAATGTTCTCAATGTAGTTCTTAGCTAGGTAAAAGTCTTTATGGCATTAGGGTGAAGACCTCTCTACCCTGGAGACTGTTTATCCAAGTCCTGAATTTCTGTTGCCTGGAAGAATTGAAGTGGAATAGCAAAGGCTTCATGTAGTAATATAAAAACTCTCAGTAGATTTTCACATCCATCCCCAATTAATCCTCACCTGTAGTCAAAGAATTTTCTAAATTCCTTATAATTCCTTCTATTTAAAGATAACAACAAATCATTAATTCACCCCAAACTATAGCCACTCCAGCAGCAGAGGACTAGTTGTACATTACACAAAGAACAGCAGGTCAGGAAAAGGCTGCCTTAAATCCTGGTATGAGGAACTGACTGAAAGAGCTTCTACAAATTCTGAAGTGTGAATCAGTGGATTATGAATGCATCAGGAGCCACTTAAGGATAGTCTTCAGCCACATACTGAGATTCATGCCATAAGAATAGGAGATTATAATATCCAACGCTCAGCATGAGTAGGTACAGAGCAGTAAGCGCCACAGTTTCCCTTAGCCAGCCTTGCTGTTTGAACGATACTCTGAAATCAGCCTGCTTGCTGATGAGATGTTATACTAGGGCACTTTGCCAGCAGGCAAACATATTAGCAATTTGCAAGATGTGAATCACTATTCAATATAATTAGAAATATCATACCTGGTTTTGATCATTGTAGTCACATTCCCGAACCACTACCAGGCCTCCTTTCTGACTTGGGTGGCCCTGGGCGACCAGGCATTTGTTGGTTTGAAGGTGATACAACTATGAAAGGAAAACAGTTTGATGGACAGCATAAACAACAAACATCACATACCGAAGCGAACATATGGTAATGCTTTTGAAGCCCGAGGACTCAGTGTGCTCACACACACAAAAAAAACCCCAACCCACACAAACAACCCACAATAAAAAAAAAATCCTTTCCTTTTAAAATACCATTTTGCTTTTCAGATAATTCAGAGAAAAAACAGCATTAAATAGTTCCATTTTGCTTTCTAATTACATCAAGATTTCCCTCTTTATGATACAAGTGCAGTACACGCAAAATGGCTCAGCACATGCTGGCCATACTCTGTCAAGTTTCTTTCCCCTCTTCACTCTCCATGAAAGTCTCAGGTCCCAGGTAGTCATGACCTCAGGAATATCAACTGTACTGTATAAACTACATTTTACTACAGTTTAGCTTAAACATAAGTTTCATTACACAGCCTCTCAAGAATCATAGAATCATAGAATTGTTTAGGTTGGAAAAGACCTTTAAGATCATCCAGTCCAACCATTAAGCTACACTACCAAGTCCACTCTAAACCAATCAAGGGTAGACTAGACTAAACCATATCCCAAAGTGCCACATCTACCCATTTTTTGAACACTTCCAGGGATGGGAACTCCACCACCTCTCTGGGCAGCCTGTTCCAATTCTTCACCACCCTTTCCATAAAGAAATTTTTCCTAATTTCCAACCTAAACCTCCCCTGGCACAGCTTGAGCCCATTTCCTCTCATCCTATCACTAACTACTTGGGAGAAGAGACCAACACCCACCTCACTACACCCTCCTTTCAGGTAGTTGTAGAGAGCGATAAGGTCTCCCCTCAGCCTCCTCTTCTCCAGGCTAAACAACCCCAGTTCCCTCAGCCGCTCCTCATAAGGCCTGTGCTCCAGACCCTTCACCAGCCTTGTTGCCCTTCTCTGGACACGCTCCAGCACCTCAATGTCCTTCTTGTATTGAGGGGCCCAAAACTGGACACAGTATTCCAGGTGCGGCCTCTCCAGCACCGAGTACAGGGGCACAATCACCTCCCTGCTCCTGCTGGCCACAGCATTCCTGATACAGGCCAAGGTGCCGTTTGCCCTCTTTGGCAACCGCGCACCCTGCTGGCTCATGTTCAGCCAGCTGCCTACCAGCATCCCCAGGTCTTTTTCCGCCACGCAGCTTTCCAGCCACTCTTCCCCAAGCCTGTAGCATTGCATGGGGTTGTTGTGCCCGAAGTGCAGGACCCGGCACTTGGCCTTGTTGAACCTCATACAGTTGGCCTCGGCCCATCAGTCCAGCCTGTCCAGGTCCCTCTGCAGGGCCATCCTACCCTCCAGCAGATCGACACTCCCACCCAGTTTGGTGTCGTCTGCAAACTTACTGAGGGTGCACTCAATCCCCTCATCCAGATCAGAAGGAATTACATAAAAACAAGCAACTTCAGAGACTTATGCTGTTTGCAAATTGATTCTCAGGAGCGTTCAGGTAACTGAAAAGCCAGTTATCAGCTAAGTTATTTTAATGACAGATCAGAGAAGAAGGGAAAATTTTACAGATGCCCAAATGCTCATTCCAGTTCAAACACACTGCCTAGTCTGATTTGGAGTAATGTTGTATCAGGGGACTAGATTCACGTCAGGAGCCTGTCCTCGGATACAAAACTGTAAGCATGTACCATCAAGGCAAACAAGGAGGTTCCCAGCAAGTTAGCAACCTCTCCTGCTTTGGGCAATGATGCCCACCCTAAAAGTCACTCAAGAGATTTTCTGCAGAGAGCGAGGACTAGGTTGTCCTACTCCAACAGCCAAGAATCATTAAGGTATTGATGCATGTAACCCCACAGACTTACTCAGCAAGCCAAACACCTCTATTCTGAGTTTAAATTATATGCATACCCCAAACTAACTGGTGGCCAGCAGAAGACTTCTTTTCAGCCTCCTTATTTTTCTTCCCCCAGTGTGGTGGGAATCAGGCTATTCAGGCAGCAATCACTGCCTGCACATCAAGAACAGTACCGCACGCAGCCAAGGGCACAAAGGAGAAAAGCAATTATTCTAGCAGTGGCCACAACTCTGCCATTTCCTTCCTCACAGGAGAGCCCAGCTCTCTACCAAGTGCATGGGAGTGCATTTGACAGTCACTGGCTGTGTGCGTGTGGGAGATGGCAGGGCCCCAGATTTGGCATCCGCTTTAAAAACAGTTATTTGCAATCTGGAGCTGAATGTAGAGGAAAAAGAATTTGCTGTCCTGAACTCAAGGCCAGGCTGATTAATTAGCTAGCTGCATTTTATTACGAAGACATACATAGCTCTCTTGGCATTTGTATCTATTCTATAGATCTTTAGAAACCAAAAGACACTTCCAGTAATAAAAGAAAGGACTGCTCCATGACATGACAGCAAAAATTAGAGAGCGCAAATACCAAATCATGTTCTTCACTAAACACCATTTCTGGAAATAGCTGTCCCAAGGCACATCAACAGCCTCCTCAAGTGCACCATGTTTCTCCTGTTC